AGTAAATAAAAACAAAAACCCTAGTTTTAGTTGTTAAGTACAAATATAATAGACAATAAAACATCAATTCAAATCTGTGTCTAGTGGTAACGTGCTTCCTTCCGTAATTGCTTCCACCCGGGTTCGATTCTTTTATGTTTCTTATAAAAAAAATAAGGGATCAAAACGACGTCGTTTTAATTTAACCAATTTTTTTTTTAATAACAGCCACGTCACCAACTTTTAACGGAAAGTTGACTCACTTAACGGTTTTGTGTAAAATGACCATTTTTAAATACTTCATGTAGTAAATTAAAAAATTAATCTAGTTCATGTGTGTTTTGGCTTGACTTAATAGTTCAAATATAAATAATTAGCAACTACTATGTTCACGAGGGAATTGGTCGTTTCCCCGATACATTTTGAAGATGAGAACTTGTTGCTCAAGCATATCAAGTCAAGTAACTCAAGGTTTAACTATGATTAGTTTGGTGAGTTGATATTGGGTTGAGTTACTTTTGGGACCACAAGGAGGAGCCTTATGCTTTTGTCTTGTTGTGGATTCAAAAGCCAAGGGAGTGTTTGTAACACTCCCGATCATTTATAGACCGGAAACGCTACTGACAAACACTTAGATGTCCGATCAGAGGTTCCCGGAACATATCCAAATTCTCTAGACAAGACTTCTAAGCGTCCATCCCCATTTGATACATCTCAAGGCTTGCCGACCCGAGACATACACAATGGTTAGTTCGTCCGGACAAAGACTAGTATCACATGAAACCCGAATTTATGCAAACTTGATTTTTTATATATAATTTATACATAAGTTTTAAACGTGATACAAGCATATACAATCGTGAGTCTAACACTCCAAAACGATCATGTACATAATAAACATTATTCATTTACAAAAGGCAAGGAAATCTACTACTGAATTTCCTAACGTTCCTTTGGCTCCCGGTGGTCTACCCGCTAATGGTTACCTGCAACACAAGTAGAGTTGTGAGCACTAGTTGCTCAGTGAGTCTAGGCTCCCCTAACATTCAATAATCAATTCCCAACCAAACCCAAAATAACAATCAACACGCAAGCAAGCAAATCTAACAAAAAAATGCGATAAGTTATGCAATGTCAATATAAGGCCTTTCGCGTAGACTATTTCTCTTCACGTCAAATCACAGGGTATCCACCAGCCCAAAGCCACAAAGGCTAAAGACCTAAGATCCTTCACCGTTTCAATGGCCTTATGTATATAAGGATCCGCACTGGAAATTCTGCATCGTCATGCAATACACGGCCAAAGGCTGCAATCCCGTCTCTCCGTGTCTTCATGTACTTAGACTAATACTCAATGTACTAGCTAAGTCATGGCTTTCAAGGGAACCTCTTACCGCAATCATCATAATTTATAAGTCTTACTATCAACTTAGGTTATAAGAAAACTTATAAATATGCATCAACAATCCAACTTAGTAATTTTCACATGCTAAGCTTTTAAATACTTAGCAAAAATATAAATTACGCAACAACGAACCTCACTTGTAATTTAATTAAACACGCAACAAGCATCACCGAGACTCACCTTTGACTTAGTGAAAGGTCGCGGTTTTGTCCAAGGTTTTCTACTCTCAA